GAGTACATACCTAGAATGCACCCTGTATGGTACCAGCTTGGCATTCAGAGCATCTATATAACAGGAATAACTGTACTTGTGTTACCTATCTCACAGGCTTACTGTGAATAAAAAGTTTTGTAAATTGTGAGGGAATAATAGGATGGATGCTATTCATCATCATCATCATCATTATTATTATTACTATTATTATTATTACTCAAGCAAAGGTCATGATGGAAGAAAAAAAAGTGTGAGACACAACAGATGGTGGTGACTCCAGGATATTAGTGGCAATAGCCAGGCATTCACTAGAGATTAATATACCAAATCAGATAGCTTAACAAGCCAAAGCACATGTGCTAAGAGTTATTGAGAAATACACTAAATACACTGTTGCTGCTCTATAATACAACCAATCAACCATAAATTCAAGTATAACATCTTGCACCCAGTCTAAGGGGGAGGTTGGTTTTTCCCAATAAACATTTAACACAGTGTCAAGTTATAACACAGACCCTAAGAACAGCACAACAAGCCTGCTTCAATGCCTAGTCTCATCAATTGAAATGTATTTAAGTGCTTACTACAGATCAGGCAAGAGGTTAAGTGCAGAAAATATAAAGGGAAGCAAAAGCACTTCCTGCCCCCAAGAAGCTTACATTCAAATGAGGGAGAAAATATAAACACAAATTAGTATATACAACATAAATACAGAGTAGATGCCAGGTAGTCTTAGAGGAGAAGGCTGAAGAATATTTAGCATGGGAGGGAGGAGGGTAAGAGGTAAGGGGGGGCAAGAGGGGAGGGGGAGACTTTGAAAGAGGAGGACATTTAGCACTGATAACCACTCAGATACCAATCAGCCAAAGAAGATAGAAAGAAAATATACAAGTATTAAACACCTTAGTTACATACAAAACAATACAATTTAATAGATTTGCTGAAAATCCAAGAAAGAACATTAGACACTTACCATAATACTGTTCTCAGGAGCTATACTTTAGAAACACCATGAGTAAAACCACCTATGATAATGTTCTTTTGGTACCTCAGTAACTAAATCCCCTTTCATGAGAACCAATAGAACCTTATAATGAATTCCAATCCATGTGAATTACATTCTATCAAAGTTCCAGTATATCATATAGCCAGGCATTTGGTCTCACTTTCTTTAAATCTGAAATCATCTCCATGATTACTGTTAGGAATATTCTTTAGAACAAGTAACTCAAGTAAGTATGGGCAATTAATTTATTGAATGATTTCAGACTTGGGAAATACTTCCAAAATAGAAATAAGATCCTAAAAATGTGCAATCTTAACAGTTTATGTTCTCAAGATAATCTTATGGTGGAAAGTATATCTTTAAAGATAATTCTGTAACTTACAATATATCTTTGTTTTATTTCATATTCTGTGGTAGTTTTTCATCCTCTGCCCCAATCCCAAATACCAACACATTAAATTCCTTTGTTTGCCCTCTGTTTTGCAGCAAACCTTAAGCATCTGCTTTGTATATCAAACTTTAAAACCCATTTAAACTTATTCATTCTTTTATTACCATTAAGACTTCCATGAAATTTAAGAATTTATAATCTGGCATTCCCTATGAAATTTAACCATATTCCATATTCAGCTACAGTAATGATTCAAACACATGTTTCAACTGAGAAGACATCATATAAACAGTAATACACAACAATCATCCTTTACAGATAGGTGGTAAGTATTATAATTCTCCTTTTTTACCACATAGTTGAGAAACTAACCCAGAGGGGGTAAAGTAACTTGGACACAATCACAAAGTCAGATGCCAAGAACAACTTTCAGTCATTCCCTGGGAAAATGCTGCCCCTAGTTGAGAGAATATGAAGTTCAGTAGTAAGAATGGAAAAGCACTCAAATCAAAGAACCTTTAAAAGTTATCTGACCCTGATATATAAGGAAAGGAAAAATAGTAATGCAAACATTTATTAAGCACGATTATGTGCAATGACAATGCTAAAAAAGTGATATGTAAACAGAGATTTTCAAACAAGCCATTTCCCTTAGATAGCTGCCTGAGGAATGGTTGAATTCAACACAAGTGCTTTCCTGTACAAACTCCTTTTATAATCCTTATTTCATCCACTTAAGTAAAAAACAAAACAAAAAAAAAATTTCACTATAGTGATAGCAATATATTGTTATAAGGCAATGACAGCTAAGAATCTAATTACTTAAAATTGAGTACCTATGGATGTCTAAAACTTCTTTGACATCTGACCTTTTTCTTAAAACTATACTTGGTAATTTATCTAATTACCTATAAAATTAATTCTGCATAAACTAGCATATTTTATTTGAAGTCTTAATTTTTAAATATCTCATTTCCTAGATGTATGTCTTAAGTTTTCCAACCAAAATTGCTGTTCTTTATTTACTGCTGGAGCACTCTTTCCTTTTGAGCTGTTCTTAAAGAAGATACAAGGTTCTGCACCAAGATATAGTAGTACACATATAGTAGTGAAAAATGGCACTGAACTTGAGAATATAAAAACTGAATTACTGATGTACCGCTTCATTACACACCTTAGACATTACTGAAAATATCCTAAATTTATATATATTATCACGAATACTAGTATTTTACTTCTTGATTTTAGGTAGAAAAAAACTGTAAGCTAATCTCTCAATGATTAATTTACAATAGAAGATGAGATCTACATTTTCACTGGGTTACTCATTTCGTTAATGGAACCCACACTACTTTAAATTCTTATAAAATTTCATGAAATGTATAAAACTGATCAAAAAAAAATTTCTCCACTGATTAAAAAATGTCACTACAATCATCACAAATAACAATTAATTTTAAATAAACAATGTCATGTGTTACTCCAATAATTATACTACATTCTTGATCCCTTAAAGCTATCAGACTGACTTATACACAATTTCTACAAATTAGAAAAAGGAACTCTCCATAATGAAATAATATTTAATCTATCTTCCAAAACCAGCTAACAAATCCTAAAGACAGCAAAGCAATCATCAAATCCAGGTCAATGCTCTTAGCTTGGTTATTATTATGCTGTGCTTACTGATCAATCTACAAATATCTTTATGTTACAACTAGTAAAAGGCATTCCATCTTTTAGACAATCTTTTAAATATCATAACAGTACAACTTTGAAAACAACCTAAAACCCCAGTATTATAACTAACTGATTAACTGGGGGGGAAAAATCTCGTTGTTTAAAGTAACTTTGTGATAATTACACATTGCCATTTGATTAACCTATAATGTCTTCTTAAGAACCTGAAATTAGTGTACACTGAGTAGTCTTTTAAGTACTTGCCTTTCTCACCAGAGCCAAAGCTGCAGAGGTTTTGGTTTAGACAGTACCTGGCAGCAAATGTACACGATTTTCAGTTTTTTAAAGTTTAAGCAAGAAAAAATTGCACAAACCTATTAGTCAATTCCCCATCAGTTATTTCCCTTTTCCCTTAAAATATACAGCTGATAAGTCCAGTAAATGTAAAAATGTCACCCTGAAACTCCCAACGTTTACATCAAGAACCTCTCCAATCCCACTAACACAAAGACTGAATATCCAATGGCGAAGATCTGAAGCTACTCAGGCACCAACAGAAAAATATCTTGCTTCTCTCTCTCCAGTCCTCCCACAATACCCACCCCCCCCCCCCCCCCCCCCCGGGAACCGGGGGGGGGGGGGGGGGAGAGAGAGAGAGAGAGAGAGAGAGAGACAGAGAGAGAGACAGAGAGATGGAGATGCAAACATGCTAACAGCTGCCCATGTCCTGCTGGCAGAAACCCAGAGAGGAAAGCAGGGACAATAATCACCAAGAGACCAGACTCTTAACACCCCCACTACCCCCCTCCCCCCGCCACTATTTCCAAGCAAAACAACAACCTAGCCCGAGGAGACAGAGTACTAGAATCCGAGACAATGTAATCCCGGGAGAAGGGAGTGCGGAGGGAAGGAGAGGGTACTAGAGAGGAAACTCAAATGTCTCTGTGGCATCCTCCAGAGACCAACAAACACAACATCAAATCGTGGGGGGGTCTCCACATAGAAGCACTAGATGAGTCCCTGGGGCTGAGACGGAACAGACAAGCTCCCCGGACAGTGGTGGGTAAATCAAACTGGAGGAGGGAGACATAGAGAGAGAAAGTAAATCACTGGAGAGGGAGACAAAGCCCCGGGGGTAGAGAAGAAGTAACCCGGGGATCGGGACAAATGGAAAGCTTAGCAGGGAGGGAGGAGAAGAAATGGAAGGGGGGGGGGAATCAAGACAAAGATAGGGTGCCAAGGCAGGGGGTACGGCGGTGGGGCAAGAGAGGGCAGCACAAAGGGACCGGCGGGCGTGAAGAAGGGGCATCGGGGAGGCAGGGACGCGGGGCGCCAGGGGTCAGACAAAGCGCTCGAGGCGGCGAGACAAAGAGCCAGGGATGGGGAGAGATGGAGGAAACCAAGGTTAGACAAAGCGCCCGGGACCGGAGCGCAAGAGCAGAGGCGGCAGAGGGCGGCCGGCGAGGAGACAAAGCTGCGCGGGGACGGCTTCCGAGCCTCGCGCGAAGGGGACGCCCCCACGCCCCACGCGTGCACACACATTCACCCCCCCCACGCCCGGCCCCGGACTCCGCGAAAGGGGGACGGCTCGGGCCGAGGGGGCCCTCGGTGGTCCAGCAGCCCTGGCAAGGGGCAGGTGTGGGTCGGCTTGCGCCCCCATTCACGCTGGCTCCCACGCACACGCGCGCGCGCGTGCATACATAACATACACATACACACACACACACACAAACACACGGGAGCTGGAGCAACAGTCCCGGGGAAGAGCGCAGCCCCGCACGCACACACGGACAGGGACACAGACACGCACCGAGGGCTCCGCTCCGCACGGAGGACGCCGCCCCTGCCCCGAGCCCCGGCCCCTGCCGCCTCTCGGCAAGTCGGGAGCCGCCGGTAACTTTGCCTCTCCCCCACCCCCCAGCTCTGAGTCCCCAGACTTACCCTGTCACAACAGGCGCCATCTTCCACAAACTCTCGCCAAAACTCTAACCCTCGCGAGATCCCCGCTGCGGCCGCCACCGCCTCCCCTCCCTCTCCTCGCTCGTCTCTCCACCCCCTCCCTCTCTCGGTGGCTCTTCCCCCCCTTCCCGTTCCATCGGCAGAGGAGAGCGAGTTCCCCCCTACCCCCGCCTCCCAGTGGAGCGCCGCCCTCGTAGTAGGAGATCCCGCGGCTCACGCTGGAAACCCACCCTGGCGGCGACAGAGCATGCGCAGGCGGGTCCGCCGCTGGAGCTCCCTCTGCGTAGCGACCGTGGGGAAAGCCAGCTTGGGTTTTCCGGGGGTGGTGGTTGTTGATGTTTTAAAAACTCCCAGAGAGATAAGCACGGGGACTGGGAGGACCTGAGGGGATTAAAACTGGAAGGGGAATGGCAGGGTTTTAGGGTCAGGAGGAGGGGCCTTGGAGAAAGGTAGGAAAGGACTTGGGAAAAATCAACAGCAGATGGGAATTTTCCGTGTGGACTCCGCAATTCATCCTGTAATCCTTACCTTTTAGTAACTCGGGATTCCCGAGTCTGAACTATGCAAGGAACCGAGTCACTGAACAACCCTTACTGCAACTGCAGCCTTTCTGCTTGCTTACCCAACTTCATCCTCATTCTTTGAGCAGCCCCCGTTGCCCTGAGTTTTCAGAATGTTACGAAAGATTTCTGGGTTCCCAGATAGGTTACCTTCTGAAGGAATTTTACATTTTAACTTTTTTTTAATTGATTGGCTTTTGATTCTGTCTGCAGGGTGTCCCAGGAAGAAATCCCCAACTTTTCCCCTAGGGCATCCAACTTTTTTTTTCTTTTTGATAAATGAAATTCTAGCCAATGCTCCTTGGGAGGAAACTCCCCATTTTCGCGCCCTGCTGTTTCCAGGAGAAATTGCAAAGTTTGCAGAGAAAGCTGACCTCTGCTTCTGTTTCTTTATGACCCAGTTACAGAAAACCAGTCCTACCTGTGTTTAGGAAGTTATCTAGGAGGGTCTACGTAGAAGGAACTATTTATTCCCGGGCGTGAAGGCGGCCCAGGTATTTTAGCTGTCCAGGGTCTCAAAGTTCTCCAGTAGTTATATTTGCCACAAGTATTTTTCTCTACAAACTCCTTTTTATAATCTTAATTCCATAGTTATATATATATTTTTTAAAAATGCTGTTGTCAACGTACAGGATACCCCAAAAGTCTTAGTGCGGTTTTAAGCCATCCAAGCTTTAATAATAGCTTAAAACCGCACTAAGATTTTATTATTAAAGCTATTTCGACTTTAATATTTAATAATAGATTAAAACCACACTGGGATGTTTGGTACACCCTGTATGGTGACAGTAGTGGGTTGGTATAGGGAAATGATAGCTAAGAAACCTGATCTCTTAGAACTGGAGTGTGAAACACACATGTAGAAACCATATTATTTTATTGTATGCCCAACCTACATGAGCCCATTTGCAACTCTATCTTTGGGGATTTAACGCCCAGTCCAGGAAATGTTGTACTCCTTTCCCCATGTGTTCTATTCAAACCCGGAAAACTGGACTTCCACTGAAACCTCAAGAAGGTTCAGGAGGACCAACGGAGCATGTGCGGCGGTCTTTTGCGCATGCTCGTCCGCTAAAGACGATTTACTAAATGCGGGCAGCCTAGTCTCGCACATCACCTTTTCAACTACCCCCTCCGCCTCCTCCCCCCTTCCTCCCCCCGCCCCAGCCCCTTCAGACACAACACAGCCGTGGGAACTTTCCCAAACCTCGCGAGAGCCTCTCCCGGGCTGCTGCGGCCACCTCCGCCAATCTCGCGAGGCCGAGGAGGGACAGGTCTCTTGTCCTACCTCCCCCGCCTCTTTTCCGGGCGCTGTTAGAGCTCTCAGGTTCTGAATGGAGCGCTGCCCAGCGGGGCTCTGGAGGGGGTTGGGGGGACTGTGGAGGTCAGCGGATAAGATAGTGGCTGAAAAGGGAAGAAAGTTAGAGGAGTAAAGACAGGCGTGAGCCCACTCCAACGTACCTCTCTTCCCTCAGTCCCCCACTCCCCTCCCTCCGCCGACCTTGACCTACATCTGCCCTGAGTGGAAAGACCCTGGGGGCAGCGGGAGAGCCCTCCCGGAAGGGAGGAAGCCGCCGCTCTGGGCACAGGGTAAGAAAGAGGTCACCGAGGAGTCGGGCTGAAGCGCCAAGCAGCCTCGGGGGAGGTTTCGGGTCTCGGGGCCTCCCTGGTACTTTCCTCTGGGTGCCAGACGAGGCCCCCGCCACTTCGTTACAGCGTTGAGTCATTCCTCCCTGAGTCACCCACTCTGGTGACTGCTTACTTAACTTACCATCACACGAGTTCAGAGTCCCCGTGTTACTTTCTAAGAGTAACTTTTTCCCCCACCTGTGCCACCCACAAAGACGGAACTGAAGAGGATGCTCCTGTCATTTGTTCCCCACCAGGACTTGAAGCAGGGGTTCTTAACCTTCAGACAGTCATGAATCCCTCCCCTTGTCTGGTGAAGTCTGTGGAGCGCTTCTTATCATGTTTTCCAATTCATAAAATACCCAAGATTACAAAGGAAACCAATTAAAATATCTGTCTTTATAGAGATAGATCAATAGATCCAACGCTTAGCACAGATGACAAAGGAAACCAATGATACTGAAATATCTCTCTTTATAGATATACATAGATTCAACACTTAGCAGTGCCTGGCACATGATGCTTAATGTTTATTAAATTGGATATAAAAAAAATTTTTAAAAAAAAAGGGCTCCCCAGGTTAAGAACTCCTTTCTTAAGGTACCCTAAAGTGACCCTTATTGCTTCCCTCTACCATTTTCCCTGGCTGAACTTTTCTCCATCGTCCTTATTCTTTTTGGGGGGTGGGGGCCGGCTAGGCAATGGGGTTAAGTGACTTGCCCAGGGTCACACAGCTAATAAGTGTTTTTATGTGTCTGAGGCCGTATTTGAACTCAGGTCCTCCTGAATCCAGGGCCGGTGCTCTATCCACCCTCGTCCTTATTCTTTTAAACATCCTTATACACCAGTTTCAATCCCTGCTCCCATCCCCCACCCCCCCACCAAACCCATTGTAGACCATGCTCTGGAGGTTTTAACCTTTTCAATTCTGAAACTTCAGCCCTTGATTCCGTCTGATAGGAATGGTGACTACTCTCAGAAAGACCCCCCAGCCACTCCTTCCAGCAGTCTTCTCCATAGCCTTACCAAACTCCTTACTGCCAGGGTGGTTTTTAACCTGCCTTGACCTAGGAGTCAGCCTTTCCCTCCTCCTTTCTGCAGCTGTGATCAAATCAGCTCTTCCACCGTTGTTGCATGGGATATGTCAGTCTACTCTTCTATGGCCCCACATATCCCTGTAACTTTCAGGTCCAAAGTGCCCCTCCCTGAACACCACAGCCCTGTATATAAAATTTAGCACTTATTAGAGTACCTAGCATATAATAAGCACTTAATCAATGCTTGTTAATTGATTATTGCCTCCCCTCCTAAAATGTAAGCTTTTTAAAGGCTAAGAGTGATTTTTCTTTTGTATTTTTATCCGCATTAAGTAAGCTCTTAATAAATACTTTTTCATTCAATCAATCTTTCTTAACTCTAACTCGAAGTATGAATTCTCATTTTTGTCTCGCTTTCCTTTTTTCTCCCAATTTGTTTAAAATCATACCATTTTTGGCTTTATTTTTAGTCATTCACAACTGGCTATTATTCTTTACTTTTTCTAGTTACAATTTGGTCATTGAAGTTCTTTTCTAACTTCATCAAATATCCTCGTTTCATAGCTGTGGTAAATTTGGCAATAATGATTAACATTTCTATAGTGCCTTAAAGTTCTCAAAGTGCATTTCTCAAAACAACTCTGAAATACACAGTACAAATGTTATTAACCTCATTTAACTTATGGGGAACTAGATTAAGTAACCTGCTTACAGTCATACAACCTAGTATCACAGCCAGGATTCAAATACAAGTTTCCTAATTCCAAGTCCATGGTTCTACTACATGTAGCTACTATGCTAGGTTAGCATCTGTCCAATTTTTGCTTTCATTGCAGGCAGGTACCATTCTAATTAAGTTGTAAATTATAATTTATTGGGTAATCAATAGATTTTTATTTCCTTTTTTTGTTTTGGTTCTGTTGAATGTTATACTTTTCATTGACTAGCAAATTGTAATACACACAGTGGGAAGAAGTAAAAGTACATGTGTATAGCAGAATAATTTTTAATTAGAATAGAAGAATATTAACATCTTATTTTTCTCCGTTTCTACTATCTGAGCTCACGATTTCAGGCCTTCTTATCTAATATTTCCCTATAAGATTTCTCTACTTATACTCTTTCCTCTCTCATCCTATACAGCATTGCTAATCTGTTTGTTTGGGTTTTTTTTTGATGCCCAGATATGATTATAATCAATCTATTGCTTAAATAGCTTCAATGGCTTTCTGTTTACCTGCTGAATAAAGATCAGACTTCTTAACCTGACATTGAGAGTTCTATACTAGGGTGAGGAACCTGCGGCTTTTTGGCTGAGACCAAGTTTTACAGAACAAATCCTCATAGGGGACTGTTAATTGTTAATTTAACAGAACAAATTCTTATAGGGGATTTGTTCTGTGAAGTTTGGATTCGGTCAAAGGGCCACACTTGAGAACCTAAAGGGCCATATGTGGCCTCAAGGCCACAGGTTCCCTACACCTGCCATATACAATACTTCGGCTTTTCTTTCCATCTTCTTATATCACTCTCTTGTCACATACACCAAACTCCAACCAAACTGGATTCTGAACTGAAAATGTAAGAGTTGGAAGAGACCTGGGAGGACATGTAGTTTAACCTAGACCTGGGTAAGAATCTCATCCAATATATTTAGCAAGTGGTTATCCGGTTTTGCTTGAAGACCTGTAGTGGGAGAGAGTCCACAACCTTGTGAGGCGATATACATTCCACTTGTAGATAAATGTTACAAAGTTTTTGCTTAGTGGAAACCTAAAATTACCTCTTTGCAAATTTCTACCCATTGCTTCTAGCTCTGAC